ATCAAGACAAATAATAAGTTTTGTCATGTGTCTTGCTGTCATGCAGCTATCTGCACCTAACACACCATGGGTTTTGACTGATGAAAAGAGATGCATTTGTGTCATCTTCTTTGTAGATGTGTTCCTAATTTGTTATCAGAGGTTTTCTTTTCATTGAATCATTTTCTAATATCTGACAAATACACTGGAAATCGATTTAACTAAATTTGTCAGAGTGTAGACAAGTGCAGGAATATTCCCTACATATAATATAGTGTAGCTTCATTTTTCATTTTGCACACAATTCTCAGAATTAGGAATTTGAGGTTAAAACTGAACTAGTAATTTTGGGCTAAAACTAATTGTAGGTGATAAAATTAACCATATTGCCTTATGTGAGAAATCTAGATTAAGAAAACAACGCTAAAAAGCGGGCAAACATAAACCCAAAATGTAATTAAAGCCAAAAAGGAAGATTTCTGAAATATGATGTAGTCTTTTTATGACATGTTAGGTATTTTATATTCTTCAGTTGCTCACCTGTCATTTACATACATACGATGAAAGGATGTTAGGTAGAAGGAATGAAAAAATGTGTTGTTCATATAGAGGATATGGCGTCTTGCACTTTTGGGTAACAGCAATGGCTGCAAATCCAGGAAGGCATGCAGGTTTTGTTTGTTTTTTCTCTTTCTGCTTTATCGTGTTTTCAATACTGAGTATTTGAAAATACTGTATTGGGAAAGCGTGGCATCACGCTTACGTTCTTCTATTGCAAGTATTAAATAGAGCGGTATTGATTACATGTCACTTTAAGCAAACAAAGAGGAAAAACTGAACCCGAGATTGTGGCTGCGTGCTTTGGAGTTAGTCCCGTGAGTCACAAGTTAGAGTTTCTCCTCTGGAAAGCATGAATCAGTAAGAGGAAAATACTCTTGACATGTGCTTCTTCCATGATAAATTTGTTCGTGATGAATCCCATCCTATAGCACCGTTTGTTAAACAGTGCATGTGCTCTTTTTAAAAAAACCTGTGTGTTCAGGCAGTTGGTTATGCTAATTAAAAATATAGAAGTGAAAGTTGTATTCCTCTTAGTGACTGATGCAGGTGCATTCATTTGCGAATGAATCTTAAGTTGGGCTGCAGAATTCGGTCGGCACTCTTAATGTACATCTCTCCATTCGTCTCCTAACAGTCTTAGCTGTGGCCATAACTTAACTTCACTGGGAGTAGACAAACTGCCCTTGCAGCAAGTCCTCAAAGCAAAAAAACATTCCTCATCCCCTCAGCAGAATCTGAGCCCTTTGCACTTTTCCTCTTGTTTTAAAGTGATACGTTGTTAATGGCTGCTGCGTTTATTTCCTCTAATTTCTTTTGCCTTTCTCATCAAGGCATGATTTTTTCCCTAGTTGCCTTGAGATGCTTATCAGTGGGTATGTATCTCTGAGTAACCAGGTGCAGGAACAATAGTTATTTCCAATCCGGATGATGATTTTGGGGGTCCACATGGCCCATCATGTGAAATTAATCAGTTGTGGGTTAGTCAATTTCGTCTTGTATGCAATTGTACATTTTGGGGGATTTTCGGAGATGGAGATTACTAGGACTCAATAGATATGCCGTGTTTGCTCATTCCAAGTTATTTTCAGCTTTTGGATGCGTGCCTGTTCTCCAAAAGACTGTAACAGCAGCATTAGCTGTGAGTCTGGGAGGGTCAGTAAAAAAATCTCAGCAGTGTTCTATTTGTATTAATAGTAATCCAAGCTGATAGTAGATGCAGACAGCCAAAGCCTCTTAGGCTGAACAGAGTAATACTGATGTTGTAGCAAAACCTTAGTATACATCGAATGCATAATTAAGACAGATGATATTCTGGTTGAAAGCCATTCGTGAGATGTGTTAATGAACAGAACACCTTGTCATTCAGAAGAATAGTGGTTATTCTGGTCTTCCTGTCTCCAGAAGAAGAAAAATTCACCTGTCTGAGAAGAAAGCCTTAAATAATGGGCCAAAACTCAACTGTGGCCATCTCCCTTTCCTTCCTCTCCTGTCTCCAGAGAGGCTACCGAGTTTCCTGGGGTGCTGTGAAGTTTCGCTTTCATGTGAAAAGGTAAATTGGTTCATGCTGAAATGAAAGTACATTTCAAATGAGCCCAGCTGTTCGGCAGCAGTGTTGGGGGAGGGAGGCTGTGAGGGAAATTTGGTTTCTTAAGTTCAGTCACCAGCACTTGTTAAGCAGCTGAACTTCAGAGGGAGATGTTTCCTCCCGTTCCCTCCAGCCCTAGTTCACAGCTTTTAAAATATGGCTATAAAGTTTTTTAACTCTGAAAAAGTATCCCAGAAGCAAAGGATTCACTGCTCAGTCCCAATTCCTTTAGTGTAAAGCAAAAGTATTCTAAAGTAGATGCTGGCATTTTAGTGGAAGAAGGAAGGAAGGAAGGGAAGGAAGGAAGGAAGGGAAGAAGGAAGGAAGGATTGATTTCATCTGACTTCCTACCCAACTAAAATTCTTAGTGTGTTTTAAAGGTGTGGAAGCTTGGCAGTCTTTTCTTAGAGCCATTTTCTGTGGTTCCTGTTTTGGTGCTTTCACTTAGTGCATTAATTTGGTGGGTTATATTTTTGAGAGAAGCAAGCCCTGATCATCTTTCAGGTCTTGATAACATGCCATGATAACAACTAAAAGAAATACAACCCCCAGTTCCCAACTTGGGATTTCCTCCAGAACTCTATTTCAGGGAGCAGTACAAGTGTATTAATAAATAAACAATGTGGAGAAACATAGCAAAAAAACATATTTAAGGTATTATTTTGTTATGCTGCTTCTGCACCCAAAGCTGTTTGAAGGCTCGTTTTGTGCAATGATAGCATACATCTTCAACAGCTAGAAAGCAATTATAGTCTGGACTAGCATGCTACTGTTGGACAAAAAATCATTGGCAATCATTGCTTTCAAACATACCAATATTATTTTGTACTATCAGGTGGGCAGGTCTGAGTAGACCAGAAGATAATTCCTAGAGCTGAGATACTTTTGCAGTTACAGAAGGAAATGCAGCACCTCATGCAAAATGCTGCGACAACCTTACTGAAATGTTGGGGAAGTAATATCTGTGTTTGTTTATTCCTTTTTATTCAGAAGGCTGTGTGTGATTTTCTGTGGTCAGAAGAGGTGGTCTTGGTTCTGACAAGAGCTGGGCCAAAAACCCAAGGAGGCAGAAGGTCCCTTGGCCATGCAGTCAGGCGCTGCCCTAACAAGGAGAACGGCTTGTGTCTTCTGATGCCTTCCTGCCACTGGTGGCAGGTGAGGGGGGAATGCACTAGACGGGCCCATCAGGTGGAGAGGAGAAGCAGTTCATCTATGAGAATCGAAACAACATACTACTTAGTCTGCTGCCTCCAGCCCTGGCCTCTCTCCCTGCTGAGCCGTTGTCCAAATCCACCTGATGATGGGGCCAGAATGGTTTATGTCGTCTGCTGTGGGCATGCCTTCTCTGCACAAACAGAGAAGGACTTGTGTGTCCTGGCGGTTTGGCGTGAGAAGAGGGGACTTCTCTCCTTCGCCATAGCGCGTCTGGAATTCAGCTGGGTAGGTCGTGGGCAGAATTAAGATTTTCGCTGTTTAGCATGTGGTACGGGATCCTGTTCCAAAACTCATCAGAGCTGGGAAGTGGATTTAGAAGAAGGAAAATTGGGCAAGGGGAGTTGCGGACAGCCATGTCTGGTGAAGCAGGGAAGCAGCTTCCTGTACGTTACTCCCCGCGCATATTTCGCCCTTCCCCTTCAAAGCTTTACAAAAGGTGGTGGCAGAATCCCAGCAGTGCCCGCACCGAATTGGATGCGCTGGTGGCCGGAACTGTCAGAGAACGCAGAACGGATTTATTGCGAGGCGGTGTTTCCAGATGACAATGAAGCCACAGCCCAATTAAACCGCAGCCCTTGTGTCTCTGTATGGCTGGGACAATAGAGACTAGCTCTCCGTTTAATTCAAACGCTAGCGTAATCTGACAGGTGCATTATGTGCGTGCCTAAATCAATGAGCAGTAACGGGAGATAGCAAGCTGCCATGAAAAGGAGATGGAACCATCAGAAATATTTCAATTACTGTATTTTGGACCTCATGAGTTATTTTGGGACATAACAAACTGTTCAATGCGCACTGAAAACACTTATACTGCTGGAACTAAAATTGAAGTGATGCTCATTTACAAAGCAACCTTTTTTTGCTAAATACATAGTGCAAAAGTGAGAAAAAAGTCCTATTCATAGTTTTAAAAGTTTTATTTGTGGATGATCTAAGCTTAAATGAGTTTGTTAATAATAAAACTGTGACTCATTAAATTAATCATGTTCAGAAAAGTGAAGTATTAATTTAATTTACAGTTAGCTGCGCACATTATTTAGTTTTTGTTACATTTTAAGAGAATAATTTTTGTATTTGGTCTTTACCTGTAGAGACTATGGAGACTGATGGTATATTCCTAGTGGTGCTGTTTGCATTATAATACTCATGAAATAACTATTTTAAAACTTCTTAGTAGCTCCTGATTTTCAAAATATTACGTATGTTAATGGTTGCATTGTACTAAGTTGTCCTGTGGTTGTCTCAGTGGACTACACCAAGTCGGGAATGGGTGCCTGTGAAAAGTATGGCAAGAGTGTACCTTATGTACATCACTTCTAAATGTCCCATGAATTAATTGTAGTCTGAATTAATTTTAGCTGTAATAATAAGTTTTTGTTGGCATTCTGTGGTATGTGCTGTCACAGTAAAACCACACAGTATAGTTTCACATCATGTTTGTAAAAATCATGTAACAGACTGAGTAAATTTGTGCCTATAATCTCACAGCTGTCTAAAACTAATATGGCATATGAGTAATATGTAACCTACTGGACAAATGCCAGAGCAGTGTATGCTAAGAATTTATTCCCTGCTTCATTTAGTTGCTTTCAGAATGACATTTTAACAGTTAGGAATGTAAATAAATACTTTTTTCATTGTGTTTTCTTTTCTCCGACAGGACACTACAAGTATAGAAAAAATGTCAAACTGTTGTGAAGACACGTAAGTGCTGTAAAATTTCTACATTTATTTGCTGAAAAGCAAAAGGAGTAGCTGCTTTGTTTTAACTGTGTGTGAGAGAAAAGGAATTGAAGGCACTGTTAGAATTATTTTGTGTGGTACTGTGCCTTGTACTTCCTATGCCTAGCAGCAGCTCACTAATCTTTTAATACCAGTTGTACACAAAGTAGCCTCACATTATTCCCATTCCTTCCAAAACCAGTGGAACTGTATTTTCTTTCAAAAGTATAGATCAAAAGACACTTTCTGCTGTGTCTTGACATACACTTCATTGATTCTGAGAGTCTCCTCTGCTTCAAAAGTTGCCTTCAGTTGATTGACGACACAGATAGTTTCTGTTCTCCAAAGTTAAGTCTCAGCTGCGTGCCGTAATGAAAGAAAAGCTGTGTTTGTGATGCTGGGACACAATTCATCAGAGTCCAGTAATGGGTCCCCAGCCAACCTGCATTGTTCTGTCTGACTGAAGTGCACCATGGGCGTGCTGTCTTTCACTAATAATGCTGTCTTCTGTAGATTGAGGCCCCGAAAGCCATGGCAGCAGACCTTCTCAGAAGTTTTTGGCACTCGATGGAAGATCCTGTGGTTTATTCCTTTCAGGCAGAGGCAACCACTGCGAATTCCCTACCACTTTGCCAATCACATCTGAACAGATGGATGGTGGGCACAGATGGGTCCTCCATGCTGGAAGTGCGTTGCAGGTTTTATGATAATAGGACTATGACAGTCTTCAAGTCAATTAAAATCCAGCCACCAGTTGTAGGCATCACAGTGTGCCTCAGGATTTATTTTAATAGAGGCCTTGATTCAGTTCTGAGATTAATACAAGTTGTATGTTTAACTTTAGGCGTATTTACTTTCAAATTAACTTTCCAAAGGGATTTCTTTCATCTTTGAGGTAAATACCAAAACCAAATGACTGGAATGCAGTCTTACTCTGTTTGTTTGATACAGACACTTGATTTTTTTTCTTTGGTAGGAAACACTGAAGTTTACATTGATTGTTAGCTTTCCCACTAAGTGTCTTATTCTGCCTTAAATTTTTTTGAGTGTCTTTATCAGTAGGTCTGTCTAAAGAATATTTATGCCTTTTTTCTGCCATGTGTATTTAAAATTCCTTGATACTGCCATTTATTTATGATATTCAATAGTAATCCTGCAGCACCACACTATAAAAGGTACCATTTAGAACAGAGGCAGACTTCTTCCTAAACCTTTCTCAGAGAGGTTTTTATAAATAGACGTAAATGTGTGTATTTATATAGAGAGATCTTACGTCTTACAGTTATCTTTCTGCATAGATATGATCTTAGTGAAAAACATGTCTTTATGTCAACAAAAGCGATAAAATGTTCCAGGGTAAAATATGCAGATAGATAACGTGTTTTCCCTCTATCCCAAGGATTTCTTTGCAATAATTCAACAAAGAAGTTGTATGGTGCAAATACGAGAATGATTACTTATTAAAAATACAGATTTAATTAGCTAGCATAATGTACCATAAAGAAGAATATATTGTCAATAAAGCTTTTATATTTACTTCTGTTTAGTCATGAGTAGCTGGAATTGGTCTAAGTGTTTGTATATGGAAAACAAATGTGAAAATATTTTAAAATATTTATACATAAATACAGATATTTGCTACTTACAAGTATAGTAAAGTATATTAACTGATTTAATAGGGTACTGTGTTGACATACAATAGCTTGTTGTGGGCCCTTTAAGTACGGAAGTAGTTAACCAAAGAAAGCATCCTTAAGATTACATCTGGTAAAATGACAACGATTCCCAGATCGTTGGGAATGGCTCAGCTTTGCTATATCTGGAAAAAATTGTGTAATTTATTACAACCCTTTGTATCTATACAACTATCAGCATGAGATGTTTGTGATTTTTGAAAGTTTGTGAATTTTTATGGGAAATTCACAGCTTCAGTGTTTTCACTTATGCTACTTACTGTGGTTGTTGTCTAGTCTAACAGGACTAGGATGCACCTTAAATGACAGCCATGCAACAGGATGATAAAAGGCACAAAATCATAGAACCACAGAACCATAGAATTGTTTGGAAGGGACCTTTAAAGGCCATCTAGTCCCATCCCCCTGCAATGAGCAGGGACATCTTCAACTAGACCAGGTTGCTCGGAGCCTCGTCCAACCTGACCTGGAATGTTTCTGGGGCAGCCTGTGCTGGTGTTTCACCACCGTCATGGTAAAAAATTTCTTCCTTATATCTGGTCTAAGTCTACCCTCAAAAAAATCAAGTTGGAATATATGTTGGTTGTGTTTGGCGAGAGTAATAGTTGTGAACAGTTCATTCAAGAACAAGGGCTAGATCTGTCATGAGTGGTATTCATAATGAATTTCTAGATCAGCTTTTTTGAAATCTTAACAGAGTCACTGCCAATGTTGGGTGTCCCTTTATTGAATTACCGGATTTTGATCATCCATTGAAAATTCCCAAAGGTGCATCTTAAAAATAATTTCAATTTTAAACTTTTGTAAACTTCTAACATTTGACCCAACCTTACTTTCCCCCTCCTTTTGAAATTGGAGCAATATTTTCTTAATTTAAATTTCAAGCCTAATGTTCAACCATTTTTTTTTTCATGGCATTTTTAGACATGAGTTTAGACTTTCTTTAAGATAGTATTGGCAGCAATATTTAAACAAAGCTCGAAGAAAGTGGATGGAAAGACTGGAGCAGAGCTTGAAATTAAAAGGAGTGTGCATATACATTATGAAGTAGTGGCTGGATTCTCTCTTTTATTTCTTAAGGAATTGCGCTATTATTGTCCCTGTGAAATACATAGGGGAATAATACTAGCAGTTTTAAGTGCCATTAATTAAATTTGTTTCATGAGCAAAATATAGCAGTTTGTAAAAAGTTTTTCAGGCTAGTCAATTATAATAGTTAGCAGATCATACAGTTCTGAAGCTTATTAAGAAAGAGGGTCAAGAATGTGATTGTTCTTGATACGTTCACCATGGGGTCATAAAGTTACTCTTTCTGTTTTCTGTTTTGGGGGTTGGACGAGATGACCTTTAGAGGTCCGTTCCAACCCAAACTCTTCTGCGATGATTCTATGATCGTTTCCATTCCTGTAACCGTGCGTGGGGAACCAAGTCTGCAACACAGAATCTGCGTGACAGCAGGAGCCTTAAAGAGTGTATTTAATTTTTGTACAGGCTCTACAGTGAAGTAATGGGACCACTAAATTTTGCCTGCTTCGTGGGGATAAAAATCCACAGGCAGCCCAAATGCCCTACGTGTGCGGTAATGCCGGTATTCTCAAACGAGAGGAGGTACCAGCCATGAGAAGCCGGTGCTGACATGGCACAGATTTGGGGCTAAACATGCGCGGAACGTGCTACACCCCGCAGGCACCGGCGTCCGCGATTTATCCCTGACGCGGGTGGAGACGCTACGCCGTTCCCTCAGAGCGGGCGGCGGCGCGTGCTCCCTCGCGCTCCACGCGCCCTCTGTCGGCCGCCTTTGCGCAGCGTCGTTATGACGCAATGGTCGGTGTGATTTGGGCCTGCATGCGTGCCGGTGGTGGGCTAGGGTGCAGTTTAAGTGAGCGGACCCTGGTGGGAGTGTAGCGTGCCTCGTTTGTCTAGAAAATCGTCAGAGCCCTTCGACTTCCCTGTCAAAGCAACAATTACAGATTAAAAATTAAAAATATGTCAATTCTAAGGCGCTTACTTAAATGACCAAAAGAGGAACCTTGAGGCTGAAGTATCTGGTATACATTTAAGTAAATGATGTCAGTAAAAATCTTTCCTGATTCTCAAACAAAAATGATAATGCCACGGATTCACAATTTCTCAAATTATTTTCAGATTATTGGATTTTTTTTTGGTAAATACATTTTTTTGTCAGTATCCCATTTATCCTTAACATTAGGAATCAATATGTAATATGATTAAGGCAGCTACTTTATTTTTTATCCCATTTCTAATTATGTGAAGGAAAGAAGGGAAAATTTGGAGAGGCTTCATTTTTTGGAGGCACTGAGCTTTACTCTTTGAATGGGAGGCCTCTAGAAGTGTAAAAGTAAACACAGTGTTTTTTTAAATTTTAGTCAGTGACCCTATCATGTTGTTCGTTTATTAGAGTAATGTTTCTGAAACTGATTCTCAGAAAGAGATAGACTTTTATCATCTAATTTGAAATTCTTTAGACCTTGAAATCCTTTGAACCTTTACTTTGAAATCCCCACTTCTTTCTCTCCAGCTCTCCTTTGTGATTTTTTATTTTAGTAGAAACCGCATTCTTAAGACTACTTAGCACTTGTCATTGTTATTAATTTAAAAAATCTTATGGACAGTATTAATGAATTTCATCCTAATGTAATGTCAAAACTACACGTGCTTTATTTGGCACAGTGGATATGAGCTGTGAACTTAACAATATTTGATTTCCTGAGGGGTACAAAGGCAAGTCAAAGCACTAATGAAAAATAACCTGAAAGCATTTGAAAATAACGGCTTTATTTGCAGTATGGGGTAGCTCTTGGTAGGACTGAACAATGCTATCTTGCTATTTTCTGATAATATCAGAGATTTGAAATTTCATTTGAAAAATACTGGTATCTAAAATAAGAGTCTGCATTGAATAATGTTTAGCAACCTATCCTCTCCTCTGCTGGTTTGAAGGACAGGTTCCATCGAACAGCTGGTGGAGTAGCTGAGGTATGCAATCATTTTCTGTCTTGAGGAGGATTCATAAGTAAGAAACTGTCTAAGAACCGAGTGGTAGGATAGATTTTGAACTAGACAGCTTCCTCCTTGTTTTGAATCTAAAGTGGGATAACGTGAAGGGAAGATTCATAAAAGCACAGAGAAACTGTAGATGGGGCCAGAAGAATTGTTTTGATTATCAAATTTTATCAGTGAAGTGAGATTGCAAAGAGCAGGAGTGATGCAGTTAAATACACATGCCATCATTACATGATGTGTTTCAACATTCAACTTACAGTTGTCCAGTTTTATTCAGTAAATGTTACTTTTCAGAATTACGAATTCATAAGGAATATTAAGTGGCAAAGACAGCATTTCTGCAGTACTATGAAATAGAATCTTTTTCATGTCAACTTTGCATTCAGATGAGGCATATGATAGTAAGATGAGTTTTCTGGTAACTTGAAATTGTTACTTAAAACACTTTTTTTGTAATGCACTGTTTACTGCATTTGGCCAGACTTCCTGCCAGCAGTACATCACTTATAGCAGAGTTTCTGTCAGATATTTGAGGATGCTGTCACTTAGGTGTATTATTTAACTTGGCTATCTATATCTACCCTTTGTCTTCACCACACACTCAGTTTTTCTGCAGCTCACAAATAAGAAGCCAATGTAGCGTTGTTGGAACAATCATATCACAAAGAAAAATACTATTGACTGTCTCTTCTCAATACCCTGACTGGAAATATCATTGCATTCCTTAAAAGTGTTTTCTTTGTATGGTGGAGTCTTGAATTTTCTGGACAAAAAATGTTGCTTACTCTACATATATTCCCATGAACAATACTGTATTAGCACTTCTGCACTATTCCTAAAATAAAAACTAAGTGTACTTTCTGAAGAATAAGAGTTGCATAAAATAATGTGGATCTTAATTAATATCACATAGTATTTCTCACTCAAT